ATAAATTAAGGGTATAATAGGAAGAAAAAAATTGCACTTTCTTAATTTGTAAAAAATGACAAGTAAAAGGAGAAATCAATTTTTTCACAACCCAAGATACACCCTAAATGTGACATGGTGTATAAGACCCCGAGAGGCCCTACACAAGCCACTTAGTATACATAATACAAGATAATAAAAATAAAGAATTTTAAAGAGATAGTCTTATAACATAAATAGTTTAACAAAAGTGAAAGTCTAACATAGTCTCAACTAGCCATAAATTATAGCAAAGAAGTGATTGGGACGTAGCCCATACATCACATACAAAGTCTGAAAATGGCAATAAGAAAAAACATATAAGAGTGACATTGTCCTTGGAGTATGAAGACTCACCAAGTCTTCAAGTCTCTAATACAATCAACTAGCCAAGAATGGACGGAGAAGAGTCGTCAAGCCTGAAATTAGTGAAACAATGTAGGCACAAGTATGCATTAGTAGATGGAGTGTACTAAGTATGAGGAATGCAATAAAACATGAGACGTGATCATAAGGGGACATAATCGAAAACATTCAATGCATGGCCAACTTAAAACAAAGTAAAATTAAGAAGATTCATAAATCATTAACATGGTCAATGCATCTTTAAATCATAAAGGAAGCTTCATAAGACATTAGTAATTAAATTATTTCGTTTTGTGGGAAGTTTACCATTAACCAACATAGACCATGTGAGCTATAACATGGAATATGGTATATCCCTCACACCGAAAGAAGGGGGAACTACTTCCCAAGTAGAATTTGTACACATCATATCATATGCTACATGCAGAATCTCTAGCTAGGTCATTTAAGACAATCCTATGGTGGCGCATAGTTTATGAGACATGGGTAATCTCCACTAGTCCACTCGGTGCTAAGTATAAATCCCACAAAATATTTATTTAATCATATTCATATTATCATCCATGGGAAAGTACAATTAAGATAATAATTCAAGCTAGAAACATCATAGCGTAGCTCCTTAGACCATGGGTGAGAAAATCTTTCACAATCCATAATCTTTTCACTATAGCTTTATAAGGTCCATAGTCATTAACTTCATACTAAAAATACCCTACTACTAATTGAAATAGTTTTAAAACTGTGATATTCATTGATGGCATATCCAGATACCATACAAATCAAGACCTAATTTATGAAAATAGCCCAAAAGCATTAAGGATAAATCTAGATGTCATTCATGTCATGTGATCAAGCTTCATAGAACATATATATACCTTCATCTATAAGCTTACTTAAGTCATACACCTTTATTTAATGAAAATAGGAATGATCTCATAAAAATATATTCATAGATTCAAGCTTTTTCATATATTCATGTAAGTTAGAGTTCGTAGTCAAAATTCATAGATCAATGCATGGGTTCACATGGAATTAGTTTAAAAGCATGTAATTAAGCCCAAATTACCAAAATAAGATCACAATCAAGAAATTGAATCCATACAAATAGAACAATGAGGAATTGAATGAAAACCTTATCAAGTTTTGGGAAATTGAATTGGAGAATTGAAGAAACTTTGGGGACTCAATGGGTGATTGGAACCCATTGATGAACTCCCTACATACCTTGATTGAAGTCCTAAGCAATGATGTATAAAAGGATACTTGAACTTGAAGAACCCTACATTTTTGTTCCTATATCTAAAGAGAAGATTTTTGGAGAAAACCTTGTAAAGACATTAGGAATTTGAGAGAATGAATAAGTTGGGAAAAAAATTATAAAGGTGAAGAGTATTTATAGGTGTAACACCCCAGATTCGTGAAGGAAAAATTTGCAGAATTTTCAGATTTGGCAGGTGCCCAATTCGCATCAGGATTTGGACAGCTTTTAAGTCAAGGGTGTTTTTGTCTTTTCCCACTCTTCTTTTAATTCTTAAATTAAAACGGTTTTAATTAGTCATTTAAAGTCCTAGAAACCTAACTAGAACTTACCTAAGTCATTTAATTAACTAAAACAAAAGAAAAGAAGAGAGTGGAGAGAGGGGCGGCTGAAACCCTAGCTAAACCCTAGACGCCGCCGGAAAACGCTAGAAAGTCGTCGGAAAAGTCAAGTCCAGCCCTAGTTGATAGTTTTTCGTGGAGATTTTGTCACCAGGTATTTTGGATTTCATTAATGGGTCCCTTTCGCCCGTTAGATCCCTAGAATTCAGACGATTCTTGATTCCATGCTATGAACGAAATTAGGGTTCTTGAACGTTTATTGATTTTGAGTTTTAAATGTTAGAATGCTCCAAATATTGATCGTTTTCCAATGATTATGAATGAACCCTGGTAGTTTATAAAGTTACAGCCAATTTTCATGAAGAGACTGTTCTAAAAACGTTCCGATTTAGAAATCACGTTTTTAACTATATGTTTTAACGTCCTTAACAGCATGTCACGTTTTAGCTATGTTTTAATGTTCCAAATCAACATGTCCCGTCTTCTTCAGATTATCGTATGAATATCTGAACCCTAGCTATGTATTTCTTTAGTTCTTGAATTACATGTGTTAGGTCAGATTTTATCAGAAATTAGTTATACATGCCTCAGTATTATGCATCAATGTCAGTTTTAATTGTTGCGTTCAGTTTGCATGTCTAGTTTTGAGCTATCCAAAACAATTACAGAAAATCAATCATAATCAGTTTACTACTAAATTCATTGGGACTAGCATAATACCGAGTTGGACTGGGGTTTAGCGTACCCAAATAGTCCCAGAACTACTCGCCAAGTAGGTTGTAAGTCCCTTCCATGGGAAATAGATTAGTGATCACGCCAGCATGCCTTTATACATCTGGCAAGGTATATTGGGTCCTCTTGATGGGGTATATACATCATACTCCACATTCAACTCGTGTGGTTTTATTATCAGTGATTAGTAGCTCCCACAAATCAGTCAGACTCCATTTGCATTGACCATGTTTAGTATTCAGTTGTAGCATGTCATAGTTGGTCATTGCATATAGATCAGTCATGTTAGTATTTTTCAGCATTCTATCATATCCAGATATATGTCATTGATTTTTGCTTGGTCAGTTATATATGTATTTCAGCGATACTCCATCCTCATGCTCGGTACCTTTTAGTACTGACGCATATTTTTGTGCTACACCTTCTTATGATGTAGGTTCAGACTCTCAGCATCCAGATTGCACTTAGATCGTTTTCCGATTTGCAGCTCAGTAGATTAGTAGTGGTGAGTCCTTATCCTCTGAGGGCCAGAGACATGATATCCTTACTGCTTTCAGTTTTTAGTTCCAGTTTTGCTAGATTTAGTTGGGGCATGTCCCAACATTTTTTAGAGGCTTACTTTCAGACATAGTTAGTTTCAGCCTAGTATGAGTTAATGTCTTTTGTATTAAACTCTCTCAATTATAGTATATGGGTATTCCCCATCTTTTCTTTATTTATGATTTTAGTTTCCGCATCATTTATTTTTATTCATGTTAATTATAGTATGCTCAGATTATGCCAGCAGAGTTAGCTTGGGATCACTTTTGGTCCTAGGTCCCGTGTCCGCGTCTCGGGGGTAGCTCTGGGCGTGACAACCTTGGTATCAGAGCCTTAGGTTTAAGAGTCATAGGATGTCTGAAAAGCCGCACTAAGTAGAGTCTTTTTCATGGGCGTGAAGTGCACCACATCTAATGAGCAGGAGTCTACAAAGTGTTTTAGGAAAATCTTCACTTTCTTGTTACTCTTATCGTGCGTAAGGTATGATCTAATTCCATTCTAACTCGATGTTCTACGTTTCAGTGATCATGGCTCCTCGTAGAGTTAACGCTAGGAGAGTTAATGCCAGGAACACGAATGCAGCTCCTCCAGTCCCAGATCAGGAAGTTTCAAATGCAGAGTTCAGGAATGCCATTCAGATGTTGGCTTAGAGCATGGCCAATCAGAACAACTAGCGGGTTCAAGCTCCTATGAATGCTAATGTTGGGTCAGCCGCAACTAGGGTGAGAGACTTTGTTAGAATAAACCCTCTAGAATTCTTAGGGTCGCAAGTTGAAGAGGATCCCCAAAACTTCATTGACGAGGTCAAGAAGATCTTTGAAGTGATGCAGGTAACTGGAAATGATCAGGTTGAGCTAGCTTCTTACCAACTTAAGGATGTGGCTCGTATCTGGTATACTCAGTGGAAGGATAGTAGGGGTACGAATGCAGCTCCTATTACTTGGGATTGCTTTAGTGAGACTTTTCTCGACAGGTTCTTCCCTATTGAGTTGAGAGAGGCAAGGGCCAAAAGTTTATGAATTTGAGTCAGGGTAACATGATTGTTCAGGAGTATGGGCTCAAGTTCAACCAACTCTCCAGGTATGCTCCTCACATGGTTGTTGATTCTAGGGCACAGATGAACAAGTTCTTGTATAGAGTGTCAGACTTGGTTAAGACAGAGTGCAAAAATGTTATGTTGTTGGGAGATATGAACATCTCTAGGCTCATGACTCATGCTCAGCAAGTTGAGGGTGATAAGCTTAGAGAACACGCCAAGGAGAACAAGAAGGCTAGAACTTGCAACTACGACTACTCTCAACAGAAATCGGGTGGTGGTAATCGCTCGCATCAGAAATTTCCAGCGCCTTCATCAGCTAGTGTTCCATCTCCCAGGTTCCATAATGATTAGAAGGGTAGGGCGTTAGGCTATACCCTGGTTCTCACCATTCTAGAACATTTCAATGGTAGATTTACCAACCAACATGAGACAGTTCGTACTCTCCTGAAACGGTCTTCGATGTCAGACCTTAGCATACTTTAGATGGTATAAAGATACATATCTTAGCAGGGTTATGGAATTACCCGAAAATAAGGTTGAATATTGAAAAGCTAAGTTTATAGACGGCCTTCCCCCTCTATTTGCTGAAAGAGTTCGAAAAACTCTAAAAGGCGGTCATGGTGAAATTCCTTATGCCAATTTGAGTTATGGAAAGATTATAGGAACTTGCACACAAGAAGGATTGAATCTGTGCAACGAACTAAAAATGGCTAGACAGCTTAAGATGGATAAGATAAGGGAAATATCTCAATTGGGAGATTTATGTGAGCAGTTTGGTCTACCCAATCCCGTTGCTAAAAGCAGCAATCCAGACAGGTATTACAAGTCCTCTAGAACCAAAGGTTCTCACAAGAAAAGGAAATCTAGGCGTAGATCTAAAGAAGATCGCGAAGCTAGAAAGAGCTCTCGTAAATTTAATAGATTTACCGAAGATAGATCTGGAAGAGATTTGTCTAAGATAAAATGTTACAAGTGTGGTAAACTTGGGCATATTGCCCCCAATTGCATATTAAACAAGTTAAAAGTTTTAGAGCTTGATGAAGAAACCTATGAAAAGGTTTATGGCATGTTATACACCTCAGGTTCGGATGATGATTACGAATCCAGTTTAGGTTCTAATATTGAATTATTTGATTCATTTGATAATGATAATAATCATGCTAATCCTTGTGATACTTGTCAGGGTCAGGATTGCCATTGCGAAGATGACGAAATTTATATACTGCAATTGCAATTTCAAGATTTTAATATGAATACAATCACTTCTGATAATCTGATTGAACTTATAAAGGAAATTACTGATAGTAAGCTTTGTGAAAAAATCATTAATTTAGCTACTTCTAACGAAGCTATTTCAAGTTCTTCTAAACAATTTGAAAACTAGAAGAACGATTCAAATGATTTTGAATACTCTGCTCCTTACTCTTTAAAGGACGTTGATGATCGACTTTTAAAAAGAAATACTTCTCCTAAAAAGGATTCTTCTTTCGACGATTTAAAAATTGAGGTGGAAAATTTGAAAAGAGGGATTAAATCTCTAAAACAAAATCAATCGATTTGTGATCACAGAATTACTCAAATTGAGATTAATAATTCTGAAGAAAGGTTTTCAAAAAACAAAGGAAAGCAAGTTGATATTGAACCTGTTGATCCTAACCCTAAACAAGATATGTTTTTAGGAATGATGCAAATTGTAACTGCTCATAAGTGGTATGTTAAATGTACTATTTTGATTGATAACAATTTTGCGAACTAACATTGCCATGATTGACAGCGGTGCAGATGTTAGTTGTATTCAAGAAGGCCTGGTGCCTACGAAATATTTTCAAAAAACTACTCATTTAGTTAAGTTTGCATCAGGACATGCTTTAGATATAAAGTATAAATTGCCTAATGCAAAAATTTGTCAGAATAAAGTTTGCATTCCTCATTTCTTCTTTTTGGTTAAAAATCAACTAAACCCTCCAATTATACTTGGAACTCCTTTTATTAATGCGATTTATCCGTTTACAGGGATTGACTCGAAAGGGTTCTCAGCCACTTATAAATAAAATGAGATAACATATTCTTTTGTTACAGATTTGGTAACTAGAGATATTAATGCTTTGATTAATATGAAGCAGAATCATATGGATTCTTTACAGATGAAATTATTCAACAACGACAACAACAACAAAGACGACGACGACAACAACAACGACAACAACAACAACAACCACGAGAACGACAACAATAACAACAACCACGAGAACGACAACAACAACAACAATGACAACGACAACAACAACGACAATGATAACAACGACAACGACGATAACGACAACGACTACGACTATGACAATGACAACGACAACGACAATGACGACGACGACGACAACGACAACAACAACGACGACGACAACGACAATGACAACAACAACGACAACGACGACGACGACGATGAAAACGACGACGACGACAACAACAACAACAACAATACTTTATAATGGCCACTATCCTAGAGATAAGGCCTAAAAATTATCATGGGTGGCCTTACATTATTTCTTCTTTATAAAAGTTTTTTGGCCTTATTACATGTGGCCGGCAAGCTTTTTATTAAAGCTTTCATTATTTTGTCTAAAGGATCCTTATTTTTTGGCTTTCCCTTTGCCAGCTGCAGATGTACTGGAAGATTCTTCCACCTGTTGTTGAAATCGACTGAAGAGAGCGTCTAAATACACTTCTTCATCGTTATCATCTTGTCCTTCTCCAGCTAGGCATGTGGCATCATCCTCCTCGTTGGTATGACTTACCGATGCCATGGATATATCATCCTTCATATCAATATCCAAATTTTTCATCAATTTTTTCTTAACTTCTTCCATGTATAACGCTATGGCTTCTGATTTCGAAATTAAACCCTTCTTCATTTGAAGTTTCTGGTAATCTTTTTAAATGGACTAAAATAATCCATTACCACTGGTGATTCTATCGTGGCCAAATTATAATAACCGCTAATTTTTACGTTTATCAAATCGAGGATTTCCTGACCATGAGTTTTTCCTTCCTGGTTCTTCTGTAATAATTTGCTCCAGAATTTTGTATAAAAAGTTCTTTGCAAACATGGGAATCCATCAGAAGTAGTATTAACTTCTATTGACCATTTTAAAATCCATGGAATAGAGAATTCGATGAAGAAATACATTAATGACATTCCTTCAAAAAATATATTATTATCCTGTAAATTTATGATTTTTGAGGAGATATCTACCCATTTCGAATATAATTTTTTGTAAGATTCTGATAAGATCTTCACAGAAGGACCATATAAAATCCACCATCTACAAAACCAATTAGGAATATTCCTTTCAAATATATTAGAACATATTTTGATAAACCACGAATGCTTCTTATTAGCATTCTCATATAATAGTGCTTTATTAAATCCATCCATATAGTCCCAATAATTATATTTTACTGCGACTTTATGTTCCGGATGGATATAATCCATTTCTTTTAAAGGCTTAAACCCCATTCTTCTGGTGCTAAGACCTTCTTTATAATAATCTTAGAGAAGTTATAAACTTTCTTTGTATTGGCTGGGTAGAAATGTTGAAATTCACATGACCCAGTAGCTGAGAGTATTATCTCATAATGCATCCTGTATTTGTAAGCAGTAGTAGTATAACTTACTGTATCAGATATCTGGACATTACCTTCCATGGTTCATCTTTCTATCTTAGGTCACTGTTTTCTAATAGAAGTATAACTTCTTTTTTATCATTCAAGTCAAATACTTCCGTATTTTCATCATCTATGAGAATAATGGAATAAGATGGTGTATTATTATCCTCTTCTTTTTTGGATTTTATAAAATCCATGAATTCTTTATACATGGGGTGGTTAATATCAACCTCACTGGTTCCACTGGATGATCCACCACTAATATTAGTGGTTATCAACTGCTTATTTCCATGTTGGATGAGGATATGACCTCTTCCCCCTCCGGCTGTGCCGCGTCCTCTTCCCCTCCTGGGGGGAGGCCATGTTGGTCTCATCCTGAAAAGAGACATAATTAATAATTATTAGTTCAAATAATCTCTAGTAAGAAAATCTGGAAGACTCTTATCTTCACCTTTTTTATATTGTATTTCAAAATCAAATGGCGCTAAAAGGGCTTGCCATCTAGCAAACATTTGTTTAGAAACATTATGCTTGCAATCTTTATTAAACATAAACTTAGCTGCTTGCAATTAGTTTTTATTAAAAACTTTTGATTATAAAGATCGCCTTGAAATTTGAGAACACATTTCACGATAGCCAAAATTTCCTTAACTATAGTTAGCATAATTTTTTTGGGCTGTATTCCACTTGCCCGAATAAAATTGAATGATATAATGACGTTTATTATCAGGACAATATTGGGTTAATACACCCCCATATCCTATATCTGAAGCATTCGTTTCTACCGTTTTTGCCCAATTTGGATTGGCTAACGTTAGACAAGGAAGGTTTTTAACTTTCTCCTTAATCCTTGTTGGCAAGGTGAACATTCATCTTCAGAAGTCATATAATCTTCTTGTTGAAGAGCTTTAAGATCTTCACTTGTTGAGGACCCCCTATCACTGCTAACTTCTGATTCTGATCTTTCTGAATCAGAATTGAGCATGATTTTATAAAGAGAATCTTTTATGTTATCCTCTATGTCAAGACTTTTAATCTTTTCCTTGACTCGGCAATCTTTGGCATAATGACCAAATCTAATAATAATAATAATAATAATAATAATAATAATATTTAATAATAATAATAATAAGAAGAAGAAGAATAAGAAGAATAATAATAGTAATAATAATAATAATAATAATAACGATAAAAAAAAAAAAACAACAACAACAACGACAACAACAATTAAACGATAAAAAAACAACGACAACAATTAAACAACAACAACAATTAAACAACAACAACAACAACAATTAAACGATAAAAAAAAATTGTTCTAAAAATATGGTGTTGTAACGTGTGTATACATAATATATAGATATTATTAATATAGATATTATTATTATTATTATCATCATTATTATTATATTTAAGTTTTTCACATTTTTTTTTTTAAAAAAAATCATTTAAATTCTTACCATTTTTAACGGATAATGGTATAGAAACTTCCGAAGATTTATTTTTTATAGTTAATATTAATAATTACAATAACAATAATAATAATAACAACAACAATAATAACAACAACAACAATAATAACAATAACGATAATAATAATAATAATTACTATTATTATTGTTATTACTAGTATACGTGCCCGCGCGTTGCGTGGATGATTTGAAATGTAATAATTTTTATAATTAAAATTAACTAATAAAATGTATTAAGTATCATGCCCTTGATAATATATTTAATTTATTATAATAATAATATAATAATACAAATCATTACCTTATTTATTTGAGCACATTAAATTAATATTATTAGTACACAATTCATTTTATTGTATTAAATATTATATCTATAGTTGTATCAGCTATAAGCTTTTAGTTTATAATATATTATGTTAGAATTTTTATGTGTTTGTACTTTATTATTTTTATGTCGTTGGAATTAAAAAATTATGTCAATAATTTACTGATTCTAACATACAAATAAAATATTTGATATCATGAGATTAAATGACATGTTGATATATTTTCTATATATGTTTTATTCAAAATCAAAAGATATTCAAAATATTTTTTTCCGTATTAAATTTGTGTAAAAATATAATATAAAATTGATTTAAAAGTAAAAATTATCTTAATTAATACAATCACTATATTATATTAAGTCAAAATTTGTATTGGATATTTTAAAATTGAATTTAAATCGTATGAGAAAACATATGGATATGAATGAGAAGATGTTGATTTGAACTTTATCCGCTAAAGTATATTATGAGTAATTATAGTTATCTTGTATTCAAATTTTTTTAAAAAAATTAAAATTTAAAATTGTACCATATATTTTAGAATCGCAATTTTTAACTTAATTCAATGTTGTTATATAATATTGTGAGTTCTTAAATTTTCTTAATGACTTATAATTGTTATACTATTCAAGATAGAATTTAACACTTGTTAGAAATAGATAAATATTATTTATCTTAAATTCAAAAGTTTAAATTTTATTTATCATAAAATTATTTTTCAATTTTAAAATTGATTGTCCTATATATTAATTCAAAAGATAATCGCAATAAGTCTTTAAAAAATAACTAATTAAAATATAAATAAATTAGATAAATATAAATATAAATATAGAATATAAACACAAAAAGAAGAACAAAAGCCTACGTTTTAGTGGCAAAAAATGTAGTGCTGCTGTCAAGGATAAGATTAATTACTTATTTTAAAAAAATTAAATTCCAAATTAATTATTCAGGCAATTTTGATAACGTTTTATATAATTAGTAAAAACAAAAATACCAAAATTCCCTGTTTCTCTCACTGTACAACCCTAAATTATAGCATTATTATTTGTACATGTAATTATCGGTTAGATATTTTGTGGAAATATAGTTACAAACTAATAGGCTAAATTTATTTCTGTTTTAAATTTATGTAAATGTAAACATAAATTTGTAGTTCCTAAATTTTAGCACCACTATTAGGGTAGTTATATATGCATTTTTTTAAAACATGGAAATTTTTTAAATTAATAAAATAAAACGGTACGATTATGTTTTTTTTTCTTTTGGATTAAAATTAAAATATTTTATCAAATATTTTTAATATCAGATTTTAAGTTAATTTTTTAAATTAAATATGAATTATGTTATAAAAGACTCCACCGTGCATAAGTCTCATTTACAAAGATTTTCAAATTTAAAACATTTTTAATTTTTAATTCAAGATTTTAAATTAATTTAATAAAAAATACGTTTAAAAAGACTCCATCGTACATGAAATAGTTATTTTAACCACATAGTTATAATTAGTTAGTTAATATTTTTTTGTTTCTGTTCTGATTTTATCTTTCTTCTCTAGGCTTCTATAAATTTAAGTATTCTTATCATTTATTTCATTGTTTAAACTAATAACTTGGTAAATATATTCTTACCATTTATTTTATTTAAATCTTGAAGTTTTCTAAAAAATTTAATGTTAATAACGTAGCATAATGATGGAAAGAGGATTCATCCCTCACTCACTGCTAATGATTTGGAGATGGAAGATGAGGATTCCATTGAGGTCTTCACTGAACAAGTGGGAGGGGGTGGGGTTGATCTTTCATGTATGTGGTAACTAATTTTATTTCTACTTCCTTTTTTAGTCTAAAACAATGAAAGATATGGCTTTTGTATCTAGTTCACCACCATCTTTTTAATACTATTACATTGCAAGGCATTTGTGCAACACTTGTATATTACATACAAGGGATGTTACTCCTGAGTAATACCTACTAATTTTTATATCTATAAAAAGGATTGGATTGATACTAATATGAAAAACTT